CTCTCCCCAGCGGGGTGCCAGGCTCCGGCTTGGTTTTGCCCACGAGCTGAGCCTGCTGCTGGGCTCTGGAAAGCCGGAGCTGCTGTTGTGGGCAGTGGGGGGCTCCTGCCTGTGCCCCCAGCTATGCCGGCCATGGGGAGACCTGTCCCAGCCGCCACAAGACCCTAGCCAGCTTGTGACAGCTGCGCTGCAGCAAGCCCAGGGCCCTTGCAGGCAGGAAGAGTCGTGCGGGGGGAGCTGTGGCATCCGACGGTGCCAGGAGCAGCCCCCTGCCCTGTGGACACGGGGCAGGGCTCACGCAGCCCGGCTGCCCCCCAGCGCAGCCCTGCACCTGGGCTCGCGTGGCCTCCCTGGCTGAGCCCTGCGGCCCGGCCTGGCTCCGCTCTGTCTGGGCAGCTGCTGAGACCCCCTTCCGCCTCTCCGTGGGGTCCCTCCAGATGGGAAAGCTGTCGGCCGGCCGCGGAAACACGCCGCTCTGGCAGGAAGCCTCCGCGCAGCCGGCAGGAATCCTGGCAAGGACACGCAGCCTCCGCGCCCTGCGCTTTCCTACCCTGTCCGGCCTGCGCGCTGAGCGCCGGCTCCTCGTGCCCATGCGAGGCCCCGGCCGGAGATGGCAGCAGTGCAGCTCCTGCCCCTGCCTCCCCTGGGCGATCCCCAGCCTCTGGTCATCCAAGCAGTACCCTGGTGCCGTGGCCAAAGCGCCCACAGCAGCCTCAGGGTCTGACCCTCCTGACCCCTTTGCAAGCCTGGGTCTGGGGCCAGGTGGCACGGCCCGGCTCTGTGGGTGAGGGCAGTCAGCCCCCCATCTCAGCTGCTGGCAGGCTGCTCAGCCCAGGATGCTCGAAGCACCAGCTGTAGCAGCTCATGCAAGCCCTAAAGCCCCCCCGGGACTGACTGGGCGATGCTGGGGCTGGTTCTGAAGCAGGGGCCCGTGAGCTTGGTACCAGCCGTGCCGGGGGGGTCGGAGGTGGGTTCCGCGGGTCTGGCAGGGGCACCGGGCCCCGCACCCTGCTGCACAACCCTGGAGCAGCACCCCGCTGCTTTGTGCCCTCTGCTCTCAGGCTGGGCAGGGTCCCCATCCTGCTAGGGGCTCGGGGCTGGGTGCCAGGGGCAGCGCCAGCCCCTGCCCTTGCCGCGGCTCCAGCTCAAGCGGGGAAAGGAAGCAGGCGTGCACGGCTGCAGCCTGGGCTGGCCACGAGGAGGGGCAGGAAGCTGGAATAAATCCCAGGAAGGGCCGCATGGCTCCGGCTGGTCTGGGCTGCAGGGGATGGAGCCGGGGGTGGGGGGGACACATATGCAGGGGGTTTCTTGGGCCTGGCCCGTGCTCCAGCTGCGCTGCCCAGGGCTGGGGTCTCTGCAGGGTTGGGCGGTCACTTTGCAGATCCGGGGCAGGACACACGCATAGGGTACACATGGCCTGTACTGCCCAGTCAAGGTCACATGCATGCCTGTTGCGTGTCCTGCTGCGTCCCTGCGTGTCGCTGCACATGTGCCATGTCTGCCATGCGTGTTGCCGTACGGGTGCCTTGCTGCTCCTCTCTCATGTCCGTCCTGGCATGCAGGCGCGTGTCGGGGCTCTGGGCATGTGCAAGGCTGCACGGACCTGTGTGCGTGTGCCCCGTGCAGGTCATTCCTGGGATGTCTGGCCCATCAGTAACTCTTCCCAGACTGATGCCATGTGGCCTGGGGGCTCCTCCCGCCCCCGGCTCCATGACTCGCTGCTCCGGGGAGTAGCAGCTGCGGGGAGGCTCTGGCTGGATCCGGAGGCACCCCCCTCTGTGCCAGTGGCACTGCCAGGCCCAGCCGTCCCCTGCAAACCTGGGCTGCTCCCCGGCCACAGATGTGGGCCACGGGCAGGCGTCGGGGACACGACTCACCCCGCTGCAGCGACAGATGCTGCCCGCCCAGTGCAACCCAGGGTCCCGGTGCAGACCTAGCCTTGCAGGGCATCCACCGGGCCCTGTCCCCTTCCATCCAGCCGGGGTCACCGCCCGCCTGTCCCCTCCACCGGACAGAGCCGGGCTGGCCCTGGGAACAGCCCTGCCTTGTGTGGTCTCCTCGGGAGCCTTGTTGTGAAGAGCCCCCGTGAATAGGCTTTAGTGTGCAGGCCCTTTGATATCCGCGGCTGCTGGGCAACCTTTGCTCTGCTCCCAGACGCTGGGATCCGTCGGCGCGGCTCAGCCCCGCGCGGTGCGGGCGCCATATGGCTGGCG